GTTTGATTTCTATATATTCCATCCGCAGAAGTTCACGGGTATAGTCACTGTTCGTGTTGTTGAAAATTTGCGATGAAGTCACTGGTGTTGCAAACTTTGATCAGGCTTTTGTTTCCTCTTTTATTTAGTCATTGTTGTTGGGGTTTATCTTTGTGTTTGTTTTGTTTTGTATGTGAAATCCAGGTGAGTCTATAGAGACAGTAATCGAATTAATATTTTCCTTAGGGGCATGGAATGGGTAAAGCCAGAATGCTCCTTTGAGGCAAAGATGGTGAGACATAGGCAACAAGGATGGTGAGACTGTGGACCACGGGCTTTGGACACGCTGTCGGAATAGACGGTCCCTGGAGAAGGACATCATGCTCGGTCAAGTGAACGGGGAGTGAAAAAGAGGAAGGCCCCCAACGAGATGAACCGATGCAGTGGCTGCAACAATGGGCTCAGAGCAACGAGCGTGAAGGTGCGCAGGACCGGGCAGGGGCAGTGTTTCACTCTGTTCATGTGGACTGCTACGAGCCGGAACTGACTCGATGACACGTAACGACCACACCGGGGGAGGTTGGGGGGAATGGGGAGCTAACGACAAGGGGGACAAGAAAGGAGATGTTCCCAAAGTGATTGTGGTGATGAGTGCACAACTCGTTTTAATATAATTGAACTATTTAATTGTTTTTTTAAAAAAAACAAGAAAGGAAGATAGAACAAGAAAAGGAGTCTTGGGTCTAAGCATCAAATGGTTAAAATGGGGCAAGGAAAGTTGTGTGGCTCAAAGACAAACTCTCAGTTTCCCGGCAGCCGGAGGTGCTGAGAGCTGTGGTTTCACGGTCCGAGGCTCAGCACAGACTCATACTGTGGAAATGCTTTCTGATTCCGCCCTGCCAGGTTTACCTAGTCTCGAATTTTCTCACCTCATATCCCCCACTCATCACCCTACCACCCTTTCTCCCTCAGAGCCCTCTGAGGTCCCCAGATTCCTCAGCCCTAGAATCAGGACCAGGAGCCTCCTGTGGAGCAAGCAGCTGAGGGGTATGGCTTCTCATGAGCACCCGTTGAGAACAGAAAACAGCCAGGCCAGTCTCTGGCCACCCAGGAGGATCTTGGGGTCTGAGGTCTCAGCCCTGTTGGCTGTGTGGCTCTGGGCAAGTCACAGACTCCTTGTGAATGCCGGCAAAAGGGGCTCACCTGCGTGGGTGGCTGGGAGGAGGAGATAACGCAAGTCAAAGTTGTCACACCAGACCTCGACTTGCAAGTCCTCCTTCCCATTAAACAGACCAGTATTCCTCAGAGCAAGGGGCACATCCCACGGTGAGGACAAGAGTTTGTTTCACAAGCAACTCATGCCTTTGGGGCTCACACACTCCCTGGGGCTGACACCTGCATCCTCTCCTGTTGTCCATCCAGGAGGTGGCCCATAGCTGCTCTGGTCTGAACCCAGCTACCCTAGGAGGCCAGGGGAAGAAATGGGGATCCCAAAGTGCTGCCCCAGAAGGTAGGGCCCCACCAGGGGCAGATGAGGGAACTCCCTGACTCCCAGGGGCCCACACAGGTGCTGAGCAGGGGTAGAAGGTGAGAAGTGCCTTGCACCAAGATCGGGCCAGGAGGCAGCTTGAGTTCAGTTCCTAGCCCTGAAGCTGTGTGACATGAGCCCAGTGTTTAACCTCTCTGAGCCTCAATTTCCTCACAATGTCTATGGGAATCTGTGCCTTCTCTGCCCTGTGAGGTGAAGGACTGGCTCCCAGTGGGTGGTCAGCCAAGAGCAACAGGCACTACTACTCTGAGGGATCCAGGACGCTGTGGTCCTTCTGCCTTCAGATCAACAGCTCGATGAGGCCAACAGGACTCAGAGGCTTAGGGACTTGTCCAAGGTCACACAGGACACGTCTACCACTGCCTTCCCGAGCCACTCGCCCTTGGCTTCTTGCTGGCCTGAGCTGAAACCCTGCTAGGGAGATTGAAGATCTGACTTGGGCCCGAGAAGGTTTTCATATCTCTGGATGGCAGTCCTGAGGACACAGGAAGAGATGGGCTTCCTATCTTTATTGGTAGAGCCACTGCAGAATCTGGGCTAGCTTTGGGTGGGCTGTGTAGAAGTCCCCATCCCTGGAGGTGTGTGAGCAGGGGCCGGACAGTGCTAGGGGAATCATGGCCTTTCCGGTCTCTAAAAGAGGGTCACTCTTGATGCAGGTTGTTAAGTTCACCCAGCCCTGCGTGCTCCCTACCTACCCCTTCCTCCTTCAGAGTCACCGAACCGAGCTGTCTCCTGGACTTGGCCTGCAAGCTCGTTCTGCTTCCCATTTGGACTAGGAGACCCACAAAGGCAGACACGGAGCATGTGAATTCCCCAGCCAGGAAGGGAGGCCATGGTTCCTGAGCAAGGCCTTGAAGGGTTGACGCTAGGAACTTGAAACACGACGTGGCATTGATCTTCACAGCAGGCCAGGACATCAGGTGCTGTGTTTGTCGTCACGTGGCAGAGGAGACAACCGAGGCCTGCCCAAAGTCATAGAAGAAGAAGAAGAAGAGAGGGCTGCCTGCCGAGCTTGTGGGCTTCCTGGTCTTGAGCAGCACTTGCCCTGGGTGGGCATGCTTGGTTGCCCATCTGACTCCAAACTCCTGTGAAGGCCCCATCTGAGCACCGAGTGAGGTGGAACCCTATCGAACCACAACCCTCTCACCTCCAGCTGACAAACCCCGGCCTCGGTGGGGCTCTGGGCTGCGGTTTCTGCTTGGCCGCTGCTCCAGGAAGGAAAGGGTGAGGTGGCATCAGCCTGCCGGCCTGGGCCTGGAGTTGGGTGGGGCAGGCAAGTCCGGGAACTGCCGGAATCCGACTTCGTCACCTTCTGCTTGCGCTGCAGGGCCGCTGCGAAGCACTTTCCTGGACACTTGTCCCCTAGACAAGGAAATCGGTGCAGGCTCTAGGATCGCCCCGTGATACTGAGTTCTGGCACAAACCCCAAGAATCAGCGACGATGCTGTCTACTTTAAGGTCAGGGAAACTGAGGTTGCATTTGACCTGAAGGAGCACCAGGGCCCAGAGAGCATGGGGTGGGCCAGCTGGGATGACCCCAAAGAGCAGAGATGGATTACTTCGTGGGGGGGGGGGGGGGGGGGGGGGGGGGGGGTGGGGGGGGGGGGGGGGGGGGGGGGGGCGGGAAGGAGCAGGTTTGGGTGCCGGTCAGAGGCCCTGCCCTGGCTCCTCACCTGCAACCTCCTTCCCATCCCTTTGTGGAGACCTAGAGCCACTTCTCTGAGAAACCTTCCCTGATCTCCTGCTCTAACTCAAGGGCAGTCCTCCCGCCACCTGCTGTCACTTCTTGTCCTCCTTGGGCTGTCTTCATTTCCCGTCAGCTCTCCACAGCAGAGCAAATGGAAGGCAACCGAGCCACTCGGACATCAAGGAGCCTTGGTGACACAGTGGTTAAGTGCTCAGCAGCTCACAGAAAGGTTGTCGGTTCAAACCCACCAGCTGCCCCACTGGAGAAAGATGTGGCAGCCTGCTTCCTGAAAGCCCTGGGTACTGCACAAGGCAGCCCTACTGACCTATGGGGTCGGTCGCTATGGGCCAGAATTGGACAATGGGTCATCTAGATGTCGGGGAATCTGGTGTTTAATTCCTACTCTACTCTGATTTCCCACATGGCTTGAGTGGTCACTTTTCCACCTGACAAATGGGGACACTTCCTCTCAGGGCTGGTGGGAGAGGAAGACGTGGAAGGTAAACTTTCTTTCCTGAGAATCATCTGGAAGTTAACAGTGGTCTGCCTTGTCCCCGGCATGCCCATCCTCAGGCCCACACCCAGGGGGCCAGGGAACCTGGAAGTGGGTGGGCCCAAGGCAGATATAAGAGGTGATGGCTTTGGAGACTTGCTTCCTCCCCTGATGAAGAAGGTAATGAAGCCACCCTCCCTCCTAGTCTCACAGCACTTCCAAACACTCAGGTGCCTGAGAAAGGCACCCAGACTGGCCTGGCCTCTTTGTGACTTTGAATGTCATTCCCCTTCCTGAACCTCAGTTTCCTCATCTGTAAATGGAGGCTTCTGGATTGTACTCGGATTCAATTCACTGCCTCCGTTTTCCCATCTGAAAACAGGGGGTTTTGATGGAGCGTTATGGTTTTGCAGCGTCTTTTAGGGGCTCAGAAATGAGTCCTGGTGGCATAGCCAGTGAGTGACCAGTTGGGCTACTAACCTCAAGGTTAGCAGATCGAAACCACCAGCCGCTCCAGGAAGGAAAGATGGTGTATTCTACCCCAGGAAAACGGTTAGCAGTCTCGGAAACCTACGGGGCTGTTCTCCATTGTCCTGGTCGCTGTGAGTGAGGAGTGACCGGATGGCCGATGGGTTAGGGGTTAGGGGACCGGGAGATGGAGGCGGAGGGCGCGTGCGGACACTAAGCCTGTACGGAGGGAGGAAGTGACTTGCTTGGACGCACCAGGAGGGAAGGCCGAGGTGCAGTGCGGGGGGAACCCCCTCCACGGCTACCCCAGGGCCAGGGAAGGGTCATTTCCTTCCGCATTCGGCCGTGCCACCACCTCCCCTGTGCCCCCCACGGCCTCCCGGCCCCGCCCCTTAAGTGCGGGGGCGCCGGCAGCGGGGAGATCGGGGCCAGGCCGAATTTCCTCTGGACCCGGGGCTCCCAGAGCGACCCCCCGCGGGGTCGCGACCTGCACGTGCAGCGGTCGGGCCCGGCTCGCTCCCCCGCGCTTCCTTTCCGACCTCTCCCGCACCCCGGCCCTTTCATGCCGCCCCCTCGGCCCCAGCGCGCAGACGACGCTCCATCCCGCGCGCCAGTTCCGGATCCAGGGCGGCACGCGGAGCGCGCCGGCGGGCGCTAGGACCCCGCGGGCCGGCAGGAGGGGGCGTGGCGGGGCGGGCCGGCGGGAGAGGCATTTAAATCGAAGCCGCGGCCGCCCCCTCGCGGGTCCCGCTCCCTGGGGCAGCGGAGCGGCAGTGCGCCTTCTCCGGCCGGCCGGGACCGCGGGGTCTGGCGCCGGGTGGGACCTGGGGACGCGTTTGCGCAAAATGTTCCGGGGTCGCGGGGGAGAGGAGCGGCCGCTGCGCTGAGCCAGGTAGGAGCCGCCCAGCGGGCGAGGCTGGCCCACCCCTCGGGGCACCGACGCCCCTCTGGCGTACCAGGGCGTGGAGCTGGACGAGGGCGGCCCTGGGAAGCATCGGGGAGACCCCATACACACACACCCCCAACGGTTCCCCAACACTCCCCGTGGGGTTGACCATCCCTCTGCCCCACGGGTCCCCAAGACTCCTGTCTCGGCGGATTTTCCCTGCGAAGGGGCTGGTTGGCAGTTCCCATTTGACAGATGGGCAAGCTGTGGCCCAAAGGGGGAGTTGTGCCCCAGCACACCCAGCCAGTGAAGGGCAGACTGCGATTTTATTCCAGGTCCCTAGGGGCCTGGGGCTTCCCAGCCCATAGCCCCATTCTGATGGAAGGAGGGGCTCCCCTGCCTCTGGCAGAGGCCCTGTGGCCAGCCTTCTTTATGGGTGGTAAGATGTGCAGGACCCCCACCCCCACTGGGAGCTGCCTGACATTCCGCCATCACAGCCACATTCCTTTGGGCTAAGGTCTAATTCCCCTGTGGGATGCACAGATTTCCAGAGTGGGACTTGCCCGTAGTGATTCACGGCAGCCCTCCCAGAACCTTGCTCTGCCAGTAAGCTGATAGGGGCTGAGAGGAGGGAGAGGAAGCTCCCCAGAGACCTGCCCTACTAGAGTCTTTCTGTGAGTGTGTGTGGGTGTGGACCCCTGTGTACAGGTGGGGGGATCATTATCGGGGTGGTTTTGGAGAGAGACTTGGGCTGGTGTGGTGGAGACACTGAAAGAGAGGGGGCTTTATAGGCTGCACACCTTGTCCTAGGCACCTCGGATGGGCCCATCAGCTACCAGGGCAGAGTACCCCGCCTCCCCCCACCAGCAGATGTGGTCCCTTCAGGACCCACAGATGTTCGTGTTGGGCGCGACTCGGGGTGAAGTTTAGCAGGCTCAGGAAAGAAAGTAAAGGCCTCTTTTGGTGACTTCTGCTCTAGACTCAGAAATACCCCCCTCCCCAATCCTTTTTCTAGTTCCTACTCGCCCACCCCACTTTAATACTCACTCCTTAGATGTTTAGTGACCCCTGCACACTGTGCCCAGCTCTGTAGCTTTAAAAGTGAATGATCAGGTCGTGACAGAGGTTAAGAGAGCAGTCAAATCACTGACAATCCGAGGAAGAGCAGTCCAGGCAGAGAGGGACAGCGCGGGCAAAGGCCCTGCAGCCAGGATGGACCTCCCGTGTTTGAGGAAAGGCAGAAGGATGGGAGAGGGTGGATGGCGTCCGAGAGAAGATGGGTACCACCTGGGTGCCTTTTTAAGAGAGATGGGAAGTAGAGATTCATGATCTGATCTGTGATTTTATGACTTTTGGCTGGTCTGCAGAGATCCTATTATGAGAGTCCGGGTAGAAGCAGAAGGATAAACTGGCGGGCAGGTGTCGGATTAGGGGCCCAGGTGGTACCTGGGGCTGTGGAGGGAACAGGTGGGTCTGGGGTCTTTTGCAGGAAGGGCCGGGACTGTGGCAGGGAGGTGAAGAGAGAATCAGGGATAAGAACTGTTCTTGCAGTGTCACCGTATCACCCAGACTCCCAATGCCAATCCCAATGCCACTGGCTCCTGCTGCCCTTGCTGTGAGGGAGGTCTCAGAGGAGAGTGATCCCCTTTGCCGGAAGGGTTCTGCCCTTGGTGGTGCTCACTGGGGAGGCGCACTGCCTGTGGGAGCCTGGAGGAAAGGCCATTCGAAGTCCAGATTGGGGGAAGCAGGGAGGGCTTCTTGGAGGAGGTAGCTCTCAGCTGAGACCTGAAAGAGGAGGAGAGGAAGTGAATGTTTGGGGCAGCCTGAAGGTGCTCAGAGAACTGAAGGCATCCAGAACCCAGGGCAGGGGAGAAGGCTGCTGGTCGACCGAGCAAGGCTTGCTCCCAAGGGCTTCGAAGGTCCCCGCGGGGATTTTCATCCAGTTCTACCCGCTTTGAAATGGGCTAAGTTCTTTGGCTTTTTAAACAATCAAATAAAATTGCACAAGAAAACCCATCCTGTAAAGCAGGTATGTATAGAGCCCCAGACTCCGAGTCACCCATTCAGACGGTCTGTTTTGCTTCCTCTACAGGGAGCAGGGCTTAGTGGACCCCTGTAGCCTTTGTGTGTGAGCAAGAGAGGGCCTCAGAACCATTGTCTCCACTTAAAAGTTCTCCTCACGGCTTACTTCCCATCTTCTTAAAAAGTCAAAGGCACAGCCCACAGAGGCCCTGTAAATGCATCTTCAAAAACAGCCACTCTTGCCTGGCTCCTCCACCAGCAACAGTTCAGCCCCTGCTCGCTGAGCACCTGCTGTGGGACCCGTATCCTGGAGAGGTGGAGGCCACACTCCTGGGGGCCTGCTGCTTGCTAGCGGTGTGACTTTGGGCGTGTTCTGAACTCTCTCTGAGCCTTGGTTTCCTCATCTGTAACAGAATTAACAGGAGGAAGTTACTGAGCGGTGGTGAGGGGTCAGTGGAAAATATCCAGAGCCGAATGTGCTTCCACAGCCTCCGATGAGGCTTCAAAAAGCTCATGGAAAAATCCCACTCTCTTTTCATTCCGATTTCCCATGAACTTTTGGGAGCTACCTTGTTGGACTGATTGATAACTGCAAGGCCAGCAGTTCCAAACCACCAGCTGCTCCTCGGGAGAAAGACTCAGGCTTTTTCACTCCTGTAAAGAATGACAGTCTCAGAAACCGACGGGGTGGTTCTACCCCTGGCCTATTAAGGGCACTATGAGTCGGCAGTGAGTTTGTTTTTTAGAGGTGATGTATCTCATTTGATCCTCAATAAAACTTGGTGAGCCTAACCTTAACCTTGGAAGGGAAACCGGGCTCAGAGAAGTGGTATATGGGTCACAGTCCAGCTCAGTAGAGGACGCAAAAAAGACAGGGATGAGTGACTCTAGCCTAGTGCTCTTGAGCAGCTTGCTGTGCCCCTTCTGCATATCATGACCACGACCAGGTCTGTGCACTGACCGCTGTCCTGGGTTCCCAGGACAGAGCAGGGCATGAGGAGGCAGTCAGCAAAGCCGTGGATGGTGGGTGGGTGGGTGGATGGATGGATGGATGGATAAACAAGGGAAGCTGTGGACTGATCTGTGCATTCTTCTCACCTGGCCCTGGTCCCCCTGTGAAGGAGGACAGAGCAACTAGGGGCACAGGCCCATGGCCCTGCTGGTCTCTGAGATGCCCTTCCTCCTTCCACCTGCCACCTCGGCTAGGCCCAGCAAGCCTGCCCTTCCTGAGCTGGCAGCTGCTCCAGTGAAAGTGTAGGTCTGGCAGCTAGCTGCCTGGGAAGGCCACAGGGGCTGGGGGCAGGGTGGGGCTTCCTGTCCAGGCCCCGGACCTAGCCCTCGAACAATGGCAGGGGCCCAGAGACGCTGAGAATCAAAAGAAATGGAGCAAACTCACAGTCCCCTGGGGGAGAGTAAGGGATTCTTGTGGGGCCCCAGGGGCTAGGCAAGGCGGGTGGGGGTGCCCTTCAGGGAACCTACTTGTAGCTGGGTAGAAATGGAGCCCGAGCCCAGCCTCCCATCCCTGAGCATGGTCTGGGAAGCCTTCAGGGTCGCCCTTCCTCTTGCTCACACCCCTCTCCCCTGAGGCTGTCTTCCCCCAGAGGAGGTCTGGTGAACATCTACATCTGACCAAGTCACCCTGGGCTCAAACTCTCCCCGGCCCTTGAGCAAGGCCCCAGCTCCTAGGCCTGGCATTTGGAGAGCCCTGGTGGTGTGGTGGTAAGGAAGTCGTCAGTTCAAAACTGCTGACTACCAGAGAGATAGACAGAGAGACAGACACAGGGCTTTCTACTCCCATAAACAGTTAACATTTTGGAAACTCACAGGGGCAGTTTGACACCGTCCTGTAGGGTTGTCCTGAGTCGGCATGGATTCAATTTCAATGGGGATGGGCTGCAGCGCCATATCCCACCCACAGACACCTTGATTCCTGCTGTTTGGAATGGAGTGGTCTGGGGTCCCCTGAGGGCAGGCACATTCCAGGGGTGGGGGGCTTGGGGGCCTGCAGAGGGAGGGAGGCAGGAGTCTTATATGTTCCCTTCCCTTCCCCACCTAGAGCCATGAGCTACCAGATCCTGCTGCTCCTGGCCACGATGACCCTGAGCCTGGCCACCTCCCAACGCCGGGAGAAGCTGCCCTGCAAAATGGTAAGAAGCCCTGCCCAGGCTGCCTTGAGCCTCTCTCCCTCCCACCCCACCTGTCCCACAGCCCCAGCCCCTGCCCTCCAAAGTTAGAGAAGTCAGGGAAGGTACCCTGCATTTAATGAACACCTACTAGAATATTTTCCTATCGCATTCTCCCCTATTCCTGTTTTACAAAAGCTTGAGAGGATAGGAGACTTGAACAGGGTTATTTCTCTAGAAGTAGTGGGTTGATATTGGACTCTAGTCACCTGAACTACTCCCCAAGAACTACCTCCCCACTGTTGGTCAGTCAGGGCTGGACCTTGGAGGTCAGGGAGGGCAGAGGCACAGGAAATGAGATTCTCAGAGCTGCACTGGCCTAAAGCTCCTTCCTAGGCTGGATGGCGGGGGAGCTCCATGCAAATCCCTCTGGACCTCTAGAGCGGGGTCTTTTTTTTGGCTCTTGACTCGGCCAGCTTTGTGTCCTAGCTCAATTCTCAGGTCTTTGAGCCCCCAGAGATACCTTGGGGCTGTGGATCAGCTAGGAAACATAGCACAGTCCTGCCCCAACACACATGGTCAGCGACCTGTAAGTGGGGCCTGCTGTTATTGGCTGTGCAGAGCTGGGGGCCCGGGGGCTAGAACTCAGCTTGCCCAATCAGCAGAGGAACTCACCACAGGTGGGCTGGAACCCTGTCTGTCTGATCTGCCCTGCTCCCTGAGCCTCAGTTTCCTCTGAGGGGTGGGGGGTGGGGGCAAATAATGCCGAGGACCCAGTGAGGTCAGGAGGCTGTGCGCATGGAGCTGGTTCCCACTGTAAGAGCTCTTTGTGTTGCTTCCCTGGTTTCTCCTGTGAGCCAGGGTCCCCCAGGGAGCTGAAGGTAGGGCCGATGAGGCTGGGTCTAGAGGCTGCAGAAGACAGAGAGTGTGAGGGAGGAAGGGGCTAGGAACCAGGCAGGATAGGCAAGGTAGCCAGGGTAGGTTGCCAGTCAGCATGAGGCCTAACTGCAAGGACATCCTGGGTCCCGTGGGGTCTCATGAAGCAATGTCCCCCAGAGGTGGCAGGGCCTGTCCCTGTTCTACAGGCAATAGGAAGAGCCACACGGAAGCCGGAGGGCATGAGGGATGGGGTGGGGGTTGTCTCCCTCCCTTGCCCGACTCACCTGGGGCCCCTCAGAGCTGGGACCAGGCAGGGAGTACTGAGGCTGTGTTCCCACCCCGCCGGCTCAGCCACTGACTCACTGTGCCGGTGGGCACGTCGCTGCTCTCCTTGGGCCTCAGCCTTCCTATCCGGGCAGTGGGAAGGTGGCACCCCATTGGCACTAACTCATCTTCGACTCTGGCTGAGTATGCGTACGCATCCTCCCTTTCCTTCCTCTCAGAGGGGCTCGATCAAGCCCTTCCTTAAATCTCCACGTCTGTCTTCTATCCATTCGTTAAAAAAAAAAAAAGCAGCCAACCGCTCCTGCGCCCAGGTACAAGATGTTGCATAGATTAAACCACCTAGCCCTAAATTCACTGCCACACACAAAGGGTCACAATTCAGGGGACAAAGCTAGGCAAGAGGAAGTACAGGGAAGGTGGGCACCAGTGGGGGCCCCCAGCCAGCCTGATGATCAGGAAGGCTATGCTGAAAGAGGGCCCAATGGGGCAGGAGAGGGCCTGTGCCGGGTGGCTGTAGGACCAGACCATTCCCCAGGAAAGTCTGGGTGTCCTGAAAGCCGAGACCAGCCCACAGGAGGACTTGCATTTGCACATCAAGGATTTTGGCATGAGGAGCCACTTATAGTAAAGGACGAGAGTGGGGCCTTTGCTTATTAGCAGGCCTGGGTTCAAACCCCTGCTCTGCTCTCATGGGCTAGGTGATCCTGGAGCCTCCCCAGCCCCCCTCTCTGAACCAGAGTGTCTGTACATAAAGGGGGTCTTCAGGACAGGCTGTTGGGGGGATCCACTGAGACCCTAGGCCTGGAAGTGCCAAATGGAATGGCAGGTGCCAAGTGACCCTCCAGATCAGAACCAGAGTGCTCCTGTGCCTGGAGAGCCCCTGGCAGGGCAAACAGTTACATGCTTGGCTCCTTCCCGAATGGTTGGATGGGTGAGTCCACGCAAAAGTGCCACAGAAGAAAGGCCGGGCGGTCGGCTTTGGGAAAAAGAAACCAGCATGGAAAGCTCTCTGGTCAGAGTTCCACTCTGCCACATGTGGGGTCTCCATGAGTCAGAACTGATTTGGTGGCAACTGGTTTAAGGTCACAGAGCACGATTACAGTCCTGTCACCAAGGGATTGGGGTCCTGGCCATCTTTTGCTCTGCCCCCGCCCCTTCCCAGGGCCGATGCTGGACCAGGCCATGGGAATCGAGGCAGCTGGCGGGTGTGGGGGCGGGCAGCAGTGACAGAAAGGAGGTCACATCTGGGGCGCATTGGTGAGGAAGGCAGCTGGGAGCACTGCCCCGTGGAATGAGGCTAGGAGGAGAGCGGAGGCAGAGTCGCCGCAATCAGACTTGGTGACAGGGCTGAGAGGGCTCTTTTCCTCTTTGGGAACATTTCCTCACTGCTTCCCAAGCAGACGCCTGCCTGCGAGGGGGTTCCAGGAGGGCACATAGGCAGAGAGCAAGTCCACAGGGACATCCGATGGCGGTGGAATGACATTCCTAGGTGCCACACGTATGCGAGGTACCTGACCGAGGCATCCAGGTGAGAGGGGTGGCGTTTGGCTGTTCCATCACCACCATCCATGGGCGTCCACCGTGACATTGAACGGGGAGCGCAACATAGAGATTGCCCCTGGGTACTCATTACGCTCTATGAGCCCCCATTTCCCAAAGCAGTTTCCAGGCCAGTGCCAGAGGGAGCATTAAACTCGGAGCCCCTAGCGGGCACCCAGGAGGAAGTTGGTTAGGAGGCCTGGGTCGCAGCCTGGCCCTCATGCCTCTGGGTCATCCAGGGAATCCTGGGCGTGCTATCAAGTGAGATAACCGCTACAGGGGTCTGTTCGTTTGTCTGTCCTTATAGTTCACCTCTCTAGCTGTCACACTTCCTCAGAATCCTTCCTTTATGCTCAGTGCTGTGCCGGGTGCCAGGTGCGGTGGTGGTGGTGGTGGTGGTGGTGGTGGTGGGCGGGGTTTGGGGTGGAGGGGGGTGGCAGGCTCACCAGAAGCGGACCGACTAGGCTGGGGTGGAGGGAAGTGGAGCATTCTGGGAGCCCAAGGGAGAAGCCCAGCCAAATCTGGAAGAGTGGGGCGGGGATGGATATGGCTAGTTCTGCCCCCACCACACACCCCAATGTCAGCTGCTACACCCCTCTCCCTGGCCCTCTTTCTAGGTAGACAAGAAAGTCTTGTGCCAGGGCCTTGGCCTGTCCCAGGTGCCCTCATTGCTGCCGCTGGACATCCAGACCCTCGATCTGTCTAGAAACCAACTGCAGAGTATTGTGGCCACGCCCCTGGGCTTCTACAAGGCCCTCCGCTGCCTGGATCTGAGCTCCAACGAGATCAGCTCCCTGCAGCCTGACGTCTTCCAGGCCCTGCCCCACCTGGAATACCTCAGCCTGGCTCACAACCGCCTTGCCCTGAGCACTGGGCTGGGCCCCCTGCCTTACGTGGCCTCCTTGGACCTGTCTGGAAACAGCCTGTTCAGTGGCCTGGTGGAGCGGCTGCTGGAGGAGGCTCCCGCCTTGCACACCCTCTCGCTGGCTGCGAACAGCCTGACGCGCCTGACCCGCCACACCTTCCGGGGCCTGCCTGCGCTCCAGCGCCTGGACCTGCACAGCAATGTGCTGATGGACATCGAGGAGGGTGCCTTTGAGGCCCTGCCCCACCTGGTGCAGCTCAACCTCTCTCGGAATTCCCTCACCTGCATCTCCGACTTCAGTCTCCAGCAGCTGCGGGTGCTGGACCTGAGCTGCAACAGCATCGAGGTCTTCCAGACGGCCCCCAGGCCGCAGGGAGAGTACCAGCTCACCTGGCTGGACCTGCGAGAGAACAAGCTGCTCCACCTCCCTGAGCTGGCTGCACTCCCCCGGCTCACCTACCTGAACGTGTCCAACAACCTCATCCGGCTCCCCGTGGGACCAGCGCCGGGCAGTGAGGGCACGCCTGCGTCGGCCCAGGGCTGGTCAGTGCTGCCGGCCTCGGGCCCCAGCTGGAACACCAGCACCCACCCGCCTTCCCAGCTGCTGAACCTCGACTTGAGTTACAATGAGATCGAGCAGGTCCCCGAGAGCTTTCTGGAACCCCTGACCTCCTTGCGCTTCCTGAACCTCAGTCGAAACTGTCTGCGGGCCTTCCAGACGCAGCGAGTGGGCGCCTTGCCCTGCCTGGTGCACCTGGACCTAAGCCACAATGTCTTGCAGGCTCTGGAGCTGGGCGCTAGAACCCTGGGGAACCTGCGGGCCCTGCTTCTGCAGGCCAATGTCTTACGGGACCTGCCCCCATACACCTTTGCTGGCCTGGCCAGCCTGAGGAGACTCAGCTTGCAGGGGAACCAAGTCCGCCCCTGTGGGGGGCCCCGGGAACCTGGCCCCTCAGGCTGTGTGGTCTTCTCAGGTATGTCCTCCCTCCGTGTCCTGAACCTAGTGGATAATGAGATCGAGATGCTCCGGACTGGTACCTTCCTCCACACACCACTTACTGAGCTGCATGTCTCTGGCAACCCGGGACTGGAGGTGGCCAAGGGCGCCTTGGCAGGCCTGGAAGGCTCCTTGGAGGTCTTAGAGCTGCAGGGCAACGGGCTGGCCGTCCTGCGGGTGGACCTGCCCTGTTTCCGCTGCCTCAAACAGCTCAATCTCGCTGAGAACCACCTCAGCCACTTACCTGCCTGGACCCGGGCGGTGCCCCTGGAGGTGCTGGACCTGAGGAATAACAGCTTCAGCCTCCTGCCGGGCAGTGCCATGGGTGGCTTAGAGACCAGCCTCCGGCGCCTCTACCTGCAGGGAAACCCACTTAGCTGCTGTGGCAATGGCTGGCTGGCAGCCCAGCTGCACCAGGGCCGCGTGGATGTGGACGCCACTCAGGACCTGACCTGCCGCTTCGGCTCGCAGGAGGAGGTCTTCCTGAGCCACGTGCGCCCGGAGGACTGTGAGCAGGGCGAGCTCAAGAACACCAGCCTCATCCTTATCCTCATCTTTGTGCTGGTCTCGGCCCTCATCCTCTCCACGCTGGCTGCCTGCTACTGCTTCCGCCGGCAGAAGTTCAGCCAGCGGTACAAAGCCTAGGGAAGCCAGGGACAATGGAACAGCCCAGCCGGAGTCTCCACCAGGTCAGCCAGCGAGCCGGAGGCACCGGGAAGGATGGGGACTGAGTCAAAGTCACACAGCGAGCCAAGGGCAAGAACCGTGGTCTCACTCCAAAGCCCTATGTCCTGTGCGGCTGCACTGGGGGGTGGCTCCCTTCACAAGTCACAGATGTGGCCCTGCCTCAGAAGTCCCGAGTTGGGCATGTCGGAAGAAAATACTGTTTGTCCACATGACCAGCAAGTCAAGTCTTGGCTAAGCATCTGTGGTACACTCTGGGCCCAGAGCACACTGTTGAAGACCGAATCCCTGCCCCCAGGCCACTCCCACTCCAAGAGTTTGGTCAGGGGCTCTCCTGCTTCTCAGGGCTATGGTGTATGCACCCCCCACCCCACCCCTGGGATGCAGCTCCATGGTTCTGCAGCCCCAGCTGGTGCCGTGGAGGACCAGGGAGGGGCAGGACCAGGAGAGTTTGTCCAAACCATTCATTCCCAAGCAGATTCTCACATTGTCTGATGATGACTCCCAGCTTCTCTGGAAAACGAAGCGCTGTGGCCGGATGAAAGTGTAGTGTCCAGTGCCTGCATATGGGCTGTGGCCATGTCATCAGGGTTTGGTTAAGAGGCGGTCTGTCACCTGGACTTGAGCCCAGGCCTGGACATTCCGCTTCAGACTCTGGACAGGCTTGTTCTCTCCCAGAACGCTCACATTGCACACACTGACCACCCACCTGCTGCCCTGGCCCCCCCTAGCATCACCCCACTCTGGCTGGGGAGCCAGGATCTGGGGCCTGAGCCACCCGGCTCTGTTGTACTAGGCTGGGCAGCTGTAGATGCAGGCCCAGCCTTCCTCGGGGAAACTCTGAGGTTCGTCTGTCATCCCATTTCACAAAGAGGAAAGTGAGGCTCTGGAAGTCTCCATCCAGCACCTTACAGCCAAGAAAGACCATGGCTGATCTCCAAACACCCAATCTTCTGAGCACAGAGGTGGTGCTTCCCCACTGCCCATGCAGACGGGGCTGCAGGCTGCGGTAGACAGGAGGTGGGCCCCACGGTGCCCCGGCCAGGCCTGGGAGCTTCCTGTCCTGCTCAGACCCACCGCTCCTCCCCGTCCTCCCTCTCTCCTGCCAGCCCCCGTCTCACTCCTTCCCTTCTTCGGTTTAGGTTCTCTTTCCTGTGCCCGGACTCTGCTTCCCTCTGCCTCCACTGATCACAGCCAGAATGGGAGGCCACTGCGTTCAGCCTCCCCATTGCGCAGACAGGGACGCAGAGGCTTGAGAGGAGACGAGGACCAGCGCAGAGCCGCCCACGCCCGAGTCAGGGGCAGGGCTTGTGAAAAGTGCGCAGACTGCCCGTGGGCAGGGAGATGCGGGCGGATCTCTCCCCGTTCAGCTATCATGGGTGGTGTGGTTGAGAGCTGCGCCCTGAGCTCTGCCCCGCGGTGCCGCCTGCGCCCGCTCCATCCTCACCAGCGCCTCCACACTGTGCTCACGGTTGCTGCGCTAGCCCATCGCACTGAGGGGCTCCCTCCAGCCCACCCTCTGCTTCACCAAGAATGATAGCCGCCTTTGGGGGGGCGGGAGGTGTGGGTGGGGGGGAGCCTCTCCTGTTGCCACGTTCAAAGTTAAGCAAGACGAAAGCTTGCCCTTCTCACTCCTAAGGAGGACTCAGGCTGTGCTTCTACCAAGAGAGCGTTATTTGTGCTCCCGGAAGTCCACAGCGAGTGTAGTATTCTTCGCCCAAGCCACAGTCCCAGTGTGGCCTGATCTGTCCACGGTCCTAAAATTCTCCTCTGCGCCTCCTCGTGCCTTGTGCCACTTTTGCGGGCGTATGTCTTCACTGTCGCCATCGGGGCTGTAGTGACCTGGTGTGGCCGAGGAGGATGGCGTAGGGGGCTTTCCTGACCGCAACTCTTGATGGAAGCAGGTTGCCAGCGCTTTTCTCCCTGGAGCTCCCGGGTGGGTTCAAACCGCCAGCCTTGCCGCAGGCCATCAAGTGCTTCACAGTTTGTGCCGACCGGCTCCTGGGCACAGGGGAAAGACCATGACTCAGAGCAGGGACATGGTCTTTGTTTTCCAATGCTTTCGGAAAGGGGTCTGGCTACAGATTGGCCCGATACAACACGCCATTCGATTCCCGGGCTGCTGTTTCCATTCCTCTGCCATCTATCGAGATGTTGCTTATTGGTCCAGTCGGGAGCCCCTGGGGTTCCGTGAACTCCAGATAGAGTGCTGAAAACCCTTGTCATGTTGGATCCAAATTCTCTGTGCTCGTCATGGGGGCATTTTCCCCCTTGAAAAATCGGTGGGCATCCCCCTTCCCGCCCCCCTCCCCAACTCCTGCCCCGGGTTGTCGGCCTTCCGCCCTCCTCCCTCACGCCCAGGCAGCCCTGGCCGCCTCTGGTCTCCAGCCTGCAGGTGCTCACTCCCACGGACATGCTGCCGCAGGCCTGGCGGAGGAGGTGACCGCCACAAACACTACACAATGCTGCTCTCACCTGCCGGAGCCAGGCCACAGCCTGCGCCCCGGACCAGCTCTCTGTATAACCCACGTGAATGTATTAAAAGATGATTCTGAAGACCCTGTGTGGTCTGCTTGCCTCCTGGCTGCAGTGAGTCCGCGTCATCGTGTCTGCGTGAGCCCTGCCCTTTCCTCTCCTGATTGACCATCCGAGACTTAGGGGGTGGGGAGTGGGGCAGTTATTCGGTGATGAAGCTCTGGCATGGGCCCCCTGAACCTTGGGGCCTCCGCCGTCATTGGGGCTCCTGTCACAAGGCTCTGTCCCCTTGCCCTCAGGAACCTGGCCGCTGGCTCCCAGTACAGAGAAAGAGGTGCGTCTGTTCCCTGTAGCTCCACGCTCCTCTCTCAGGCTCAGGGGCACTGCTGTTGGCCCTCCCCCACCCTCCGGCCCCTGGTCCTCCCCCTTAACACACACACACACACACACTCTCTCTCTCTCTCCTCTACCTTCAGTCTCTCCCTCTTGGTTCACCTCTCCGACCTCAGCTGTCCACAGTCTTGGCCATCTTGAAAATCAGCTCACTGCGGCTGAGGCAATGACAGCCCAGAGTGTCCTGACAGGACAGGGTGGCCCTGTCCCTCCAGGTTCCTGAGACTGGGTCTTTCTAGGTGTGGAGCCCCACATCTTTCTCCTGCAGAGTGGCTGGTGGATTTGAACCACCTGCCCCGTGCATAACTCAATGCCAGCCTACACCCTGCCCCGACATCACCAGCAGACAGACCAACTCCCCGCCATTGCGCGCGTGCGGGGGTTCTGGCTCATGGTGACGTTATATCGGGTTTCCAAGACTATTCGTCCTTCGGACCACAGACAGTCTCATCTTTCTCCTGTGGGAAGACTCGGGGGCTCGAACCTCCCACTTTTTTGGTTAGTGGCCCAGTGCCTAACCTGCAGTACTACCGGGACTCCTGACTCATTGTTAACAACATCTCAGGCTAGTTTCCCTCCTGCTACCCTCCCTAGGCAAACTTCTCGCTAAAGTCTGACTGCCAGCACCCTCATTCTTCTCGCTAAGCCTCCCTGTAACCATGCGCTAAGCCTCCCTGTGGCCATGCACTCAGCCCGTCCTGCAGCTGCAGCCCCCTGCAGAGACCCCCCCTTTGCCCATGTTCTCCTCGGCTCTCTCCCTGGCATCAATGCCCTTCCCCTTGGGTTACTCCTCAGGTAACTGGCGTGCTGCCCTCCCAGGGCCATCTCTAAATGGTGCTCTCCAGACTCTGTCCCAGGCCCTGCTGTCCTTGACCTTGTCACACTGCCCTCCGGGGAGGCTGTCTCTGTCCTTGCTGCAGCCATCTGCTGCTTGGCTGACACCCTGCCTCTGACAAGCCCACCCGCCCTGAGCTTCCAACGCTGCCAGCTGGAGCGAGGGCACTGGTCCCAGGGGCCAGAGACCCCCAGTGAACAAGGCTGAACTTGGAAGAAGAGCCCGGGGCAGGGGGCTGGGCCGGGGGTGGGGGAAGAGATGTGTGTGCAAAGAAGGCCTTTCTTGGAGGGGGCATGGCTGTGGGATGAGGGAGAGGACAGGCACCCCTGGGTGGGTGTGAAGGTGAAGCTGTGCACACTGTGGGACTGGAGGGGGCCTCTGAGGCAAAGGCTGGAGGGCAGGGCATTGACCCCCTCTCCCTCCTGCCCCACGTTCTCCAATCCCACCTGTCTGTGTGCTGGAGACCCCACTCCTTCTTCACAGCTGGGGTGGTGGACACCCCGACACAGCAACCCTTGCAACTGCCAACTTCTCTTCAGCTCCCCCCAGAGTTCCAGCTCAGAGGTGCCCTCTGTGTTAGTCCGGACTGACTAGAGAGGCAAATCCAGAGACACTCGTGTGTGAGAGAGCTTTATATCAAAGAGCAATTGTATCTTGAGAAAACAGCCCAGTCCAGATCAAGTCCTTAAGTCCGTTATTAGCCCATCTGTCCCATACCAGCCTATAAATTCCTCTTTAAACTAACGCAAACATGCAGTGGAAGTTCACAGGCCAGTGGGTGGAAAGTCTTGTGGATCCAGTGACGGTGGGAGCATCTCAGCGCTGGCAAGGGCCTCCACGTGGCTCCTCCAGCTCCAGGGCTCTGGCTGTCATCAGCGTGGCTCCATGTGGCTTGTCAACAGGAAGGTGAAGCAGAGAGAGTGTGTGTCCTGCCTCCAGGGAGGAAGACAGGAGTTCCCAGAATCCTCAGGAGAAGATCATCCCCACACAGAGGGATCATTGACTATGACCTGATTGACAGGCTAGACTCCAACCCCTTGCTCCAGTTGACAGATTATGTAACTGCTTCAGCAAGCTAAATACACACACACACACACACACACACACACACACACACACACGTATATACATTAAATTAATGGGCGCAGCAAATGTGTATTTGCAAATACCAATAACCTGCGTGCGGTTCATTAAAGATGGAGAAAATAAGAACTCTCATAAACTGTCGACTGGGATGAAAATATTCCAATTTCCCAGGAGGAGTGTTTGGCAAAGGACTTCAAAAGCCTTAGCCATGTGCTAGTCGTTTAATCCGTCAATTCCACTAGGAGGAATTGGCCCTCAAGAAATAATCTGAGAAGTGCACAAATATTTATTGCCTGAGAAGTTCATCATGATTTTTAAGTGTCCGGCATTAGAAACAGAAAACACCCCCCAAAACTACGTTCAATCATTAGAAAGAGCCTTGTTGGGTACCGGGGAGTCGGCTTCCACTCACAGCGACCCTGTGGACAACGGCGCAGAATACTGCCCACTCCTGCGCCGGCCTCACGATTCCTGTTATGTTGGGGCCCTTTGTTGGAGCCACTGTGTCTGCCGGTCTGTCTCGTTTAAGGGCTTCCTCTTGTCCACTGTCTCTCTACTTGACCAAGCATGACGTCCTTTCCCAAAGAACATGTCCAAAGTCCTGGAGATGAAGTCTTGCCATCCTCACCTCTAAGGAGCATTCTGGTTGTGCATCTTCCAGCCCAGGTGTGGGCGTCCTGGGG